TTTCGTTATTTTTATGTTTCCTTATTCTGGCATTCCCTCATAGCATGTTGCCACTTCCCCGTTAATTTCTGTTTAGCTTCTATTATTGTTATTCGGTTAGATATTGTTTAACTGTACAGGTTTATGATGTTTGTCGTGTCCTAGCCTCGTCACTACTTCACCGAGGTTAGGCTCGACACTTACCAGTATATGGGATTGGTTGTACTGATACTACACTCTGCACTTTTTGTGCAGATCCCGATATTGGACCTACGGACCGTAGATTGAGGTTGCTGCCTTCAGTCCAATGGAGACTCGAGGTAGTCCTGCAGGAGTCAGCAGGCCTTGGCGTCCCCTCCTATCCTGCTTCTTTTCTGTTTTATCTATTTCTGAGACATATATGTATTTGTTTTGTTCAAACCACTACTTATAGTATTCATAGACTGTCCGTGAAATTGTGACACCAGTTCTGGGTGAAGTTTTACTTCAGATTCGTATTTATATTGAGATAATCTGTTAAATTTTGTTTTTTCCGCATTTATTCGTCTGGTTTCCGTATGATAAATTGTAAATTATTAAAAAATAAAGTAAAAGGTAAAATAATAAGTAACATTGGCTTGCCTAGCGGGTTCAATGTTAGGCACCATCACGGTCCCGATGGTGGGAAATTCGGGTCGTGATAAATATATTATTATGCATAATTTATATCATATATATATTTTCACGTTCACTTTCGGGAATGGATCTGCATTTATAATGCTTATCATAAGTCACATTTTCAAAGAATGGACCACAATCATCTGAATGTGCCTCATATTTACAGACAAATTTAATGGCAAATATTTCATTCACCTTATGAAGGATTATTTTATGAGAATTCTTATTGTTCTCCATTTTATAATTACCAGAATGATGACTATTATTATTTTGGTCTTTGACACGCCCGTATTCATTGGTCAGCCACTAGTCTTTATTTAGACTTATTATGCATTGCTATTATATTCACTTCAAGAATAGAACAAATCAAGTGGGATAGGATTCATGCTTGCCGTAATGGGAATACACCTCATCCATTTCAGGCAATGGTGTAAACCCAGTATGTCGATTTTCTTGATTTCTCATAAGCAAGTCATTGTTTCGTTCAACCACAAGGAGAAGAGAAATCAAATCAGAGTACTTCTTGAAACCTTTCTCTTGGTACTGCTGTTGCAAGACCATTTTGGAGGCATGAACCATTGTGAACGTTTTTTTCAAGCATATCATAGTCAGTGATATTATTTCCACAGAGTTACAATTTTGAAGTAATTCTGAACATCGCAAAATTATATTAAAAAAACTTAAAGTCTTGGAGCCCCGGATGAGCCCAATCATATCGTGTTTGCGGAAGAGAGACCAACTTTAAGTTGTCATATCTTTCCTTTAAGTCATTCCACAAAACAAGTGGATTTTTGACTATGAGATATTCTATTTTCATCCCTTCATCAAGGTGATGACGCAAGAAAATCAAGGCCTTAGCACAGTCTTGGGTAGATGTTTTATTTTTATCTTTAATGGCGCCTCTAAGACCCATTGTATCTAAATGGATTTTAGCATCCAACACCGATGTCATATAGTTCTTGCCCGAAATTGCAAGGGCAATGAACTTTCTTTTCATAATATCTGTCATAATTAAAAGAGGAGAAAAATTATACCTTAGGAGCTTCTTGAGACGGTAGAGTAACATGTTATGAAATATAGCTCAAAGTAATAATATAGAACAAGGAAAAACAAGCTAAGAGATATAAAGAGAAAGAGAGGAGAGATTCTTATTTCTTCTTCAATTGTGTTATCTTTCCTATCTATTATAAGACCTTTATATATGCATGGATAGTGAAGAATTACTATTGTAAAATAGTGAGTGGAATGGCCACTATTGAGAGAAATAGCCACTATTGAGTGGAATGGTCACTACATAAATATGTCTTTAAACATTTGAAAGGAAGATCATGAGAGAGGTTGTGGATATAATAGAGAAGAGTAGTGAGCATTACTACTTTGGTGGTTATGGACATCCATCATAATTCAAAATTTTATAATAGTTTTGTCTTTTTTTTCCCTTTTGATATTTGACTTCTCAAGATATTCTAGTGTAATTATTTGTAAGAGAAATTAAAACTCGTAGATCACTCAACATACAAGTTCATATACAAATTATCAATTTTATACAAAATAATATATTAGATTATAATATTTTATACTTTCTCTCCCTCTTCCACCCCAAAACTAAAATTATAAATTAACATGAGAATGTTTGGCCGCTTTCTCCTCAATTTCAGTCATACCTTTACGAGAACAAAGAGATTTGGCATCAAGTAATTTTATTATATTTTTTCTTTCTTTTTATCTTCTATATTTTTTCTATGTTAAACAATGAACGAATTATTACTTTTGAACGAGGGAGGATTGTTAATTTCTTTTAGCTTTTTGGAATTAATAAAAAAAATAGTATTAATCAGAAGCGAGTAGATTGAACTGAAAAACATGTTAATCCATTAGAAAGCTTAGAAGCTTCGAATTCAAAAATTTAAAGTTGCAAAATTATTTTTTATTTGGATTGGGTGTTGTTGCAAATAATTGTGAATATCCTTTGAAGTTTATACCTCAATTTTGAGAGAATTTAGTAAAGACTTGAGGTGGTTTTAGTTGAAATTTCATATTGAAACTCGGGAAAATAATTGTATATATTTTGTAGAAACGGTATACAAAATATCTATAACTTATAATTGTATAAAAGTTGTATATAAATTATATGTAAATTATAGTTTTTGACCGAATTTTGTACAAAAAATATGTATATAATTTATAGATAAATTGTAGATTTTGACTAGATTTACATATATTTTGTAAAAATCTTTAGTTACTTTTTGTGTCTGTAAATATGAAAACTTAGACAAAACCGGATATATAAGTTTAAAATCTTATATATATATATATATACTATAAAGTCCCAAAAATGATATAACGGAGTATTCTTACTTTAATGTACCTTACACGGTACGAATCCTAATTAATCAAAACTCGAATGCACGTACTAGCCACCATATGAAAAACTAAGGAAAAAAAACTTGTAAATGCAATAAGTCACTTTATTAGTTTTATATGTAAGATTTTTTTTTTTGTCTTACTTCACTAGCCAACAATCACTGGGGTAGTCCCACATGTGGTGGGATGGTAATTTGTCACCTTATATGATTTTAAATAATTCTTACAGTTTGAACTAACTTTTGAAGTTGAGTTTAGTTGAATTTTTTTTTTATTATGGTATCAAGCCAGATTCACCCGATTCGTATTTCATCCGATCCAATATTGAGCCGTCATATTATCTTGTTTGCGCTCTAGTTGTCAGACCTAGGCGACGAAAAGGTTACTAGTCATGCATCGGTGAATAGGATAGGCAATTTATTTCGTTATATAATTTTGGGTGATCCTTACCTGTTGAATGAAATTTATTGGCCTATAATAATTTAAAATATTTTAATATGATATCTACTATTTACAAATTTTCAAAAGACCTAAAGAAAAAACAAAGGAGTAAGAAAATTGTCACATATCAATACTCTTTCCAAAATAAAGAACAATAACAACCCAGTATAATCTTACTAGTGGGTCTGGGGAGGATAGTGTGTACGCAGACCTTACCCGTACTCTGGATAGAGAGGTTGTTTCCGGTAGACCCTCGGCTCCTTCACTCCAAGAACTCCCCACCTTACTCTTGGAATGACTCGAACTCACAACTTCTTGGTTGAAAGTGGAGGGTGCTCACCAAAATAAAGAAAGCATTACATAATCCAGACTTTAGTTGCCTTGCAAAAACTTTCATTCAAATAAGAGATTTGAATCTATTAAGACATTAAGGTAAATTTCCGCTTTTTAACCAAACATGAAATTGAAAAAGAAGTAATCTCTCTTCTCCTTGCATGAGGCTTGATAGGGCTAAGTTTTTATTTAGGAAATGACACTGTATAGCCGCTCTCAAAATGATAGATGAATATATATATATATATATAATATTCAAATTTTATACACTTTTTCGACTATCAAATATAAATAATTCCTGACGTAGGCTAAAAGTGATAATACCCCGTTTCATTTCATCATTTGTAGGACTTTAATCGCTCATGTAGATTGGGGTCTTTCATTCGGGGCTTCGGGCCTTCTTGCAAGAGCTAAATTGACCTTTTGTAGGTTGTCATTATCTTGATCACATCCTAACCTCAATTTGGAGAAATTGAAAATTATAACTATATAACGAAAAGGGTTAACTCAATCTCTTTCGTCTGCCAAACAAAAGCGTAACCATTCAACTGCCTTTTAGTTAATTTACTTTTTTCTTCTTATTTTAGCACTGCAAAAATAAATTTACTCGTACATTTTCACGCTATCATTGTAATTTTAAGAAAATATTTGATTTGGAGTAAAAAAATAATACTTATGTGTAATTATCTTTATACAATATTGTAAAGTACTTTAATTTTGCACCGTCAACTGAATATGTGTAGCACTCAAACCTCCTACAAAAGTACCACTATATTTTTCCTCTAGGTTATGGTCTTTTAAGGTTCTTTTTAATAACTGTGCGGTGGTCAATTTGAGCATACCTTGAATTCACAGAGTACCTGCTAGTGACAGAGCTAAAATTTTCACTAGAGAAATCAAAATATAAAGAAGTTAACTCATAAAGAAGTTAAGAAGTGTCAATATATAGTATATATACATTAAAATAAAACTACCTAGCTACACAATATAGTTTTCTAACTAATGGGTGTTAGTTAACACCCTTTGAGTAACTAATGGGTGTTAGTTAACACCCTTTGAGTATATATGGCTCTGCAATGGTACCTACTATCTTCCACCAGCAAAGATACCGGTACCAAATAACTTTGCCATAAAGATTTGAACAAATGAGAAAAAATCACTTAGGGCCCTTTTGGCCATAATAAAATTTTCACTTTTTTCAGAATCAGTATTTGTCCATAAAATTTTCAAATTTCACTTCAAGAGAAATGAAGAGGTTTTTTCTTTAAATAAAGCTGAAGCTCGTTCCTAGCCTCTTTGGCAGTAGCTAATCTGAATTTGTAACCCGCCATCTTTGGGCAAGAGTCGTCACTTCTTCTCCAAAATCATAGATGTGCTTGGCGCACATGGGAACTGTTTTTTCAATGATATCGAAGCATTTTTGCCTCACAGAATGGTTTATGATATCAGGAATAATGGTATATTCATATCTCATCAAGAGGACAAGGGGATATGGAAAAATAATCGAAGTGAGTCATTTATTCACAAAACTGGTTGGGAATTCCATAAGAACAAATGGTCATTCAAGCTTGGACTCAATTTGTCTGGGATAAAGTCATTCCTACAATAATTACTAGCATTTTTGCGTGAAGCTCTGATTTGACTTTGTATGCAAGGATTTGATTTCAGAATCAGTTTTCGGAAATTTGAAAAACTCCAAAAATGTGTTTTTCCAAATTTTCACTTTAATTCACTCAAAAAATTTCAAAAACAGCTCCAAATTGTATCCATATTCAAACACAACTCTAATTTTCAAACGCCCCACTTATTGTTCGAGCGTGCGAGATTTGGACATCTTTTTAAAGGCTCTTGATGTACCTAACTCACATAATCACCAACTAGTAGTTGCATAGAACATTTCAAGTATGCTTAAATCTCAAGACACTATTGCCTCCTATTTTACTCTAAACCATAAAAATGGCTAAATGACATTATGATCTTGATTCCACTCCCACTAGCTTTCCCAATGACAACACATCCAACACAGGATCGTAAGATCCTATTCCTTTTTCCTCTTGCATTAGCCTCTCTCTTTCTTCTTGGAACTGTGAGATTTTTACTTGATAACTTGAAAAACAACCAATTCCAGTTTCTTTGGCATAATAAGTTTCTTAGAGTGCCTATTAATGTTTCTGAAGATGAGATAATTGAAGAAAATTGTAATGTATTTGATGGGAATTGGGTTTGGGACAATGTTACTTATCCACTATATAAAGAAGAAAGTTGTCCTTATTTGGTTAAACAAGTTACTTGTCAAAGAAATGGAAGGATTGATTCTTTTTATCAGAATTGGAGATGGCAACCTAATGGTTGCAACTTGCCCAGGTACATACATATATATGTATATATATATATATATATAGTTTTTTTATGTTATCAACTGCAAAAAATAATTTTTCATGGTGTTTCTTGCATTTGCCTTTTCTTTTATCCCTCATATATCATTTATAACAATATTTTCTAGAGTATTTTTTAGAGTATTTCATATGGTCATTCACACCAAGTTTTAAAACTAATTTTTTGTAGAAAAGTAACTCAACTATGCCATAAACCACGTAAAGTAAAAAAAAAAAAAAAAAAAAAAAACAAAACAGAAAAGGCTAAATTCAATCCCGAAAAATATAACTAATCTGCCACGTGTATAAATTTTCATGAAATTATAATTCCTTCGTCAATTCACCTTACATAATATCCACATGACACTACTTAAAAAATGCACAAAAACCTCATTTTCATCAGACCTAGTACCAAATATCTTTCACCATGTAACACATATTTGTTTTTTATTTTATTTTTTAAGCGGGTTAGAAAATTATATTTTAATAATTTTAGTGGTGTCACTCGGATATAATGTAAGGTGAGTTTTTGAAAATAGTAACCTACATGTGTTTCCGGAGTAGAATATTATAACATTTTCTTGCTTTTTTATTTTCTGTGATACAAAGGCATAGTTGAGTTATATTTTCCATTACAAAAATTAGTTTTATAATTTTGGTGCGATAAACTGAAAACTGAATAACCTTATGTGAAATTAACCTTACAATTCTGTGGCTGGTTCTTTTATAAATGTTTGTTCATCAGATTTAATGCATTGAAGATGTTGGAGATGCTGAGGGACAAAAGACTTATGTTTGTTGGAGACTCAATACAAAGAGGCATGTTTGATTCAATGGTATGCCTTGTTCAATCAGTGATTCCAGATGGTGATCATTCCCTTCAAAGAATCCCTCCAAGAAAGATTTTCAGAATTGAGGTGCTTATTAATTAATTCTTCGGTTCTTTTTACAACTAAAAAGGGCAGCGCGGTACACAAAGTATCTTGTATTCACGTAGGATCGAGGGAAGGGCCACACCTCTAGGTGGGGTATACATAGGTCGGGTTGGTTCAGATTTTACAATTACCAAACCAAACCAATTGTGTCGGGTTATTAAATCTAAATACCAAACCAAATCAATAAAACTCGGGTTTTTTACTCTCGGATTTTATCGGGTTTTTGGATTTTTTCGGGGGTTTTTCTCGATAAAATCTTCGTAGAACAAAACATATAAATTGTGCTCAAAATATTTCTTTAATCCTAATAAGATACAATTATATAAAATATTTTCCTAGAAAATAATATAAAATATGAGATGTGTCATGGCATTATCCTAAAATATTCAACAATATAAATATTGCTAATTAAAAAGCCATAATAAAAATAAACATAATCTAAAAGTACTAAGTCTTGATAAAATAAGTAGAATAATAAGGGAGTATTAATTACATGACTAAACGCTAAAGAAAAATAAAAATAGGTTATGCATTTTTATCTAAATTATTGCAAAACAAAATATAGATATTCAATACATTCCCGTTCATAGTATTGAATTGAATGTCTTTTGTTAGCATTATTTAGTTTACTAATGTTGATGGCTATAAAACTTATTGGAACATTCAAAAGTTCTAAGTCCAACCTTGAAATAATACCTTAAAAGATAAAATTATGAAAATTTTTAAGAAATATTTATAAATTACATCACAATAAGTATATTTATATATTAAATATATCTAAAATTTCTATATATGTAATGTCGGGTTGGTTTGGTTTCGGTTTGACTTTCTTTAGTTAAAACCAAACCAAACCAATTATGGTCGGATTTTTTTTCTAACACCAAACCATAATCGGATTTTTTTTCTCGATTTGACTCGGATTATTGGGTTGGTGCGGTTTATCGGTTTCTGTTGTACACCCCTACCTCTAAGGGTATGATGTAGACAACCTACCCTAATGTAAGCATTAGTGGTTGCTTCCTCGCAGTGGCAAAGCCAGGAATTTCTACAAGCGTATTCATACTTGAAAGAAAAAAAGTGCTCGACAAAGGATATTCACTATTCAGTATACGTTATACACCTCTAAAACCTAATATTTTATCTATATGTACAATGTAATTTTTCGACGAAGGTGGTTCAGATAATCTAGTCGTCCCTGCTTCCACGGCTCGAACCGTTACCTATAAATAATACGGAGATAACTTTACCGTTACTCCAAGCCTTCTCTTCCTGTTCTTTCTACAACTGTGGTATCAAAATTCTCCTAGCTTAAGAAGAAAAAGCCAATCTAAGCATATATTTGCTCACCATTTGTCACCTCAAATTGTGAATTTTTTTAGTTGCTTTTGTGTTTCAGGAATTTAACGCATCGATTGAGTATTACTGGGCTCCTTTTATAGTTGAATCCATTTCAGATCATGCAACCAAACATACTGTAATGAAGCGACTAGTTAAGCTTGACTCTGTAGAAAAGCATCAAAAACTTTGGGAAGGAGTTGATTTCTTGGTTTTTGAAAGCTATGTTTGGTGGATGCATAAACCTTTGATTAATGCAACGTAAGTACGCACCTTAATTTCTCATAGAAAAGAAATAATATTGTGGAATGAATAAATAAATTTGTGGCACTTGAGCCTGATTTGAATAATATACCAACTGGTTTTGTTTCTGCAGATATGGATCTCCTGACAGTGTTCAAGAATATAACGTGACCACAGCATACAGATTGGCGTTAGAAACTTGGGCAAATTGGATAGACTCAAGCATTAATCCTCAAAAACAAAAGGTCTTCTTTGTCACCATGTCCCCAACACATTTGTGGTGAGACAACTGATTAAATGAATATTCCGTTTCGATTTTTTTTTTATTACCACGGTACTCGGGTTAACTTGTGCACATCTCGACTATTCTATAGAGCATCGGTGTTATTTCCTACTAGCATATGTATTACGTAACTTTGACCACTAAAATTTAGGCAAATGGGAAGAAACTACCTAACATTTTTGCCTTTGTTGAAAGATTTTATCTCCACTTTCTTGGTATAACGATGGTATTCAGACCAACTTGTACGAGCTTATGCGATAACTTCATCATTACGGCTTAGACAAATGCGAAGAACCCACCTAGTGTTTTTCGTCTCAGTGTTTTTTTTTTTTTTTTTTTTTTTTTTTTTTTTTTTCCTGGAATGATGTTGTTTCGCCCTACTTGCACGCACCTGCCAGCTTTCACTATCACAAATATCTTGTAAATGCAGGGGCAAAGCTACCATGTCAATTAAAGGTTCAACCGAACTCAATAGCTTTGGCTCAAATTGTGTATTTATCTACAAAGATAAATTGAATATGTATAAATTATTAATTTAAAACCCATTAACTTGAAAAGATGTAAAATTTCGAAATCATAAGCGTCAAATGCCTCTGTGCCTCTATTTAGATTAGATAGTCTATCCCCAAATTGACCTACCATCTTTAATCCATTATGCATTAAAGATAAATTATCTTCATTTGCAGGAAGTGGGAATGGAAGGGTGGAAGTGATGGAAACTGCTTTAACGAGACACATCCAATCCAAGGACGACCATATTGGGGAACTGGTTCTAATCTTCATATCATGTCCATCTTGAAAGAAGTCATACAAAAGCTTCATGTTAATGTGCGTTTGCTTAATATTACACAATTGTCTGAGTACAGAAAAGATGGACATACTTCAGTGTTTGGTGAAAGAAGGGGAAAACTGTTGACTAAAGAACAAAGATCAGATCCAAAGAATTATGCTGATTGCATCCACTGGTGCTTACCTGGGGTACCTGATACCTGGAATGAGTTATTATATGCAATTTTGTTGCAAGATTACCGCAATCATTGACTCTAAGAAAGAGTTGATTTTTTGTCTTTGTTTGTCTCTGTTCCAAGTGAGAATCTCTCCCTAGCATTAGGATCAAAATCTTCACACCTATGAGTTTTTGTCATACCAGAGAATTCACTTATATTTTTCCTTTTTCCTTTCTATTTTCTTTTTTTCTGTCTTTTGTGGGAAGAGGTAAACACAGGAGGAGAGGATATTACAATTTACAACATTACTTTGTAATATAATGCATCAAATACGACCGGACTCGATTACTGATAGAGTGAATAGACTTACAATTACAGAGCTTTAGCCAAACCCAGATGAACATGAATTATTTAAAACTATTATTCTTGGTATTAATCTGGAGTCTGGGGAGATACTGATGCCGTGAAGTTCTGTAAATATAGGATATACAGTTCTAAGATATTATAATTAAGTAAATTGCACTTTTTGACGGAAGGTAAATGAAGATCACAATTTCCATAAAAGAATAAGGATTTGTTTGGTATGAGGGATAAGGGATAATCAATCCCAAAATTAAATTTTTGAGATGAATTTATCCCATATTTGTTTGGGATAATATCGCCGCATAACTAATCTCGGAATTAGTTATCCCAAGATTGTATATTATTTTTATCCCTATAGGAGGGTGAGGTACAAATCCCAGGATAATCAATCTCGAAATAATTAATCCTAAGATATTTGTTTCCCAACCAAACGACCCCCGACGGAGGGACAAGTTTTTTTGATTAATATCGCTCGAGGATAAAAATACAGCAATTTGAAAAAGTGCTTTGATAGAATTTTGAAAGTATTAAAAGTATCTCTCAATAATAATGTGTTGGTTAGAGAAGTAAAATAAAGCAAAAACTGCGTAGTGTTATAAAATAATAAAAGAAGAACAAGATTATTGCCGAGCAAAGTAGAGAGAAGGAATTCTTATTGATATGACATGAATTACAATGGAATAGAACTCTCTATTTATATAGAGAGGTGACTTAGCCACCAAGTAATGAATCCTAGAATCTCTCTAAATATAGACATTCACCATAAATAAAATTCTATTTATAACACTCCCCCTGAATGTCTATTCAACAGATAACGTGCCTCGTTAAAACCTTAACTAAAAGAAAACCCAATGGGAAAAAAATTCTGGAAAAGGAAAAAGAGTACATATATCTAATAATACACCTTTTGGTTGCCTCGTTAAAAACCTTGCAAGGAAAACACAGTGGGACAAAACCTTGTAAGGGAAAAAGAGTACAACACGTATTAACTCCCCCTGATAAGAGCATCAATTCACATCCTTTAGCCTTCGTATCCCAATCTTGTGCACTAGCTTCTTGAAGGTTGACGTCGATAGAGACTTGGTGAACAAATCAGTCATATTATTCACTTGAACAAATTTGTTGCACATTAATATCACCATTCTTTTGAAGATCATGTGTGAAAAATAACTTTGGTGA